TTTTTTTTTAGTGGAGGACATAAATTGGACTCTTAGGTATCTTGTGTCCAAATTTGGTGTCAATTCCCCCAGTGGTTTTTGAGTTCTGATGGTAGAGCACAAACGAACATTACATTTTTATTTATATAGACTTTGAAGGTATGATTATCAGGTTTGCAGACACCAAATTGGGAGGGAATAGCGAATACTAATGTGTCCAGAGGAGGGTGACTAAAATGATCAAGGGACTGGAGAACAAGCCCTATGAGGAGTGACTTAAAGAGCTGGGCATGTTTAGCCTGCAGAAGAGAGGGCTGAGTGGAGGAATGATGGCCATGTATAAATATGTGAGGGGAAGTCATAGGGAGGAGGGAACAAGCTTGTTTTCTGCTGCCCTGGCGACTAGGACGCGGAACAATGGCTTCAAACTACAAGAAAGGAGATCCCACCTGAACATGAGGAAGAACTTCCTAAATGTGAGAACTGTTCAGCAGTGGAACTCTGCCCCCGAGTGAGGTGGGGGCTCCTTCTTTGGGAGCTTTTAAACAGAGGCTGGATGGCCATCTGTCGGGGATGCTTTGCACGCAATTTTCCTGCTCCTTGGCAGTGGGTTGGACTGGATGGCCCACAAGTTCTCTTCCAACTCTATGATTCTATGACTCCCTTGTTATTTGCTATTCCAACTAGGGCAACATGAAATTGTAGCCCCACATCACCTGGAAGACAATAATTTCCTTCTTATGAAGAAAGGAAATATCACTTATTTTTGAAAATCCAATTAATTTTTTAAAATTGATTTTATCTGGCTCTGGCCTTGGGATTTCATAGCCTTGATCTAATGTGCAGTAATGCAGCAATATCTGCTTCTAGGCTATTCTGTTAGATTATCTGAGCTAGTGGTTGAGAGATGGGGGAGAGAGCATGTGTCTCTTAAGGAATCAAATTAAAAATAATAAGTTTCTTGGAATGCCAAGCTATTACTGAAAAAGTAATACTGTTTTGTTTCACAGTCTACAGGAAACTTGGAGTATAATATGTTCAATTTCAGGATAATTTTTAAAAAGAATTTCAAAGTTATGAAGGGAAAGAGTGAAGAAAATTAAGTGTGGCTATTACTGATGTTTCCTTAAATTCATGCTTTGGTCACAGGATCGATTTGGGATTTTAGAGGATATAATCACTGCTGCACTATAAAAATCACAGAAAAAATGCTTTGCCATTGTGACTATTGTTGAAATGTGTATGAGATATGAGAGGCACACCATGGATGAAATTCTCTGTAAAGTTTGGGAGGACGCTCTTTGGAGACAACACATTTATTATTTATTTCCAGCATTTTTACCCCGACCTTCTCAACCCCGGGAGGGGGACTCAGGACGGCTTTCACTTGGCAACAATTTGATGCCGCAACATATAAACAAATACTACAATATAACTACAATTTAAAACAATAGACAAAACATTAATTAAAACAATTAAAAACATTATTGTCAGCCATATAACCATTCTAGTCCAGTTCCACATCCAAAGTGCTGTTATGCCTGCTGTCCAAAAGCTTGGTTCTAGAACCATCGTTTCAATTTCTTCCTGAAAGACAGGAGGGATGCTGCTGACCTTATCTCACTGGGAAGCGATTTCCATAGGCGGGCTATCACCAAGAAGGCTCTGTCTCTCGTTCCCACCAAACGCATTTGCGAAGCTGGCGGGACCCGGATGATTTTAAACTACAAGGCGGGATGTAGAGAGATATACTTTTGGACAAGTAAACTGGGCCGGAACCATATAGGGCCTTATAGGCCAATACCAGCACTTTGAATTGTGCTTGGAAGTGTATTGGCAGCCAGTGGAGCTGACACAACAGGGGGGTGGTATGCTCCCTGTATGTCGCTCCAATGAGTAATCTGGCTGCCGCTCGTTGGACTAGTTGGAGTTTCCGAACAGTCTTCAAAGGTAACCCCATGTTAAGCGCATTGCAGTAATCTAATAGGGATGTAACACCGTAGCCAGATCAGACTTCCCAAGGTATTGGTGCAGCTGGCACACAAGTTTTAACTATGCAAAAGCTTCCCCAGGCCAGCACTGAAACCTGGGGTTCCAAGCTCAGCGATGAATCCAGGATCACTCCCAAGCTGAGAAACTGCATCTTCAGGGGAGTGTAACCCTGTCCAACACTGGCTGTAACCTGTGTTGACTGACCAGGAGGAACTCTGTCTGCCACACTTCATAAGTACAATGTTTTTGAACAGATAAATATGCTTGAATGCTTCTCAGTACTCAGCACTACTCCGAAACTAGAGAATATTAGACTTGTGTGCGGAGTTCATTTCTTCCATGTCCTCCATTTCCTTTGGTACTTTTGGTACTTTGGGAGCTCATAATAATAAGGGCCCTTCTAGTACGAAAACCCGCTCAACACGAAAGGAAGCAGGAACAGATCTCAGCTCCTCTGCTTTTCACCATCACAGTTTAATCTTTTTTATTAATCCCCCAGTAAACAAAAAAAAAACCTCTTGTTCTCTGAGAATTACTACCCTTCTAGGAGGCCATTACCTGGAAGTGGGAAGCCTCCTTTAAATGCCTTGGAAAGAGTGCTGCAGCAGAGCACTCTTTCCAATGCATTTAAAGGAAGCAAGTTCCTAATGCTTTCTTCTTACTCTAGAGTAAGAAACAGCTTTAAGAACTTGCCTCCTTTAAATATCTTGGAAAGAATGCTGCAGCCCAGCACCTCTCCTCCTCTAGAGGAAGAAACAGCTTTAAGAACTTGCCTCCTTTAAATGCCTTGAAAAGAGTGTGTGGCATGTTGGCCTGGGAGAGAACACACACACCTACCTGCAGTTGAATGCCTCTCCTCTAGAGTAGAAACAGGTAAGAAGCCTCCTTAAAGAGCACACCTGCCTGCAGCTGAGTGCCTTTCCTCTAGAGTAGAAACAGCTTAAATGTCTAAAATGATCGGAAGGGGAGCCTGAGAAGCCCCTCCCTCATAATGGGCCAATAGAAAACTGATCTTTCAGCATCCCAGAGTGAAAGATATTTGCCCTTCCGATTTCGGGAGGCTCCCAAAAAATGGATCAGGGCCCGCATTTAAAGCTGGGACACAAAATTCAGGTTTACCCTGAATGCACAAGCCTAGAGAATACCTTCCTCCAGAGATTGGAATACATTTATAAACGGAGTGTCCATTACTSAAAACATTATGATTTTGTCATTTGGGAGTTGTAGTTGCTGGGATTTATAGTTCACCTACAACCAAAGAGCATTCTGAACCCCACGAATGACAGAATTGGMCCKAACTTCCCACACAGAACCCCCATGACCAACAGAAAATACTTTAAGGCCATCCAATCCAACTCCCTTRTTCAGGGCAAGAAAACGTAATCAAAGTCCTCCTGACAAAGAGCCATCCAGCCAGAGATATAGATAGATAGATAGATAGATAGATAGATAGATAGATAGATAGATAGATAGATAGATAGATATGATTCACAAACACACAGATATAGTATCATAGATTTGAAAGGGACCCTTAAAGAAGGACAATGATATCTTGCATGTTGCAGAGTGGGCAAACCAGACAATCTCGACATCAACACTGACAAAGAAAAAGCAAGAAATACTGATTACCCACAAGTATAAAGAAATTACATATATTAGAAACCAACACTTTCTCATTACTTTATTTTACAGATCAACAGACTGGGCCACAGCAACGCGTGGCAGGGGACAGCCTGTATAAATAAATGCTCTGTTCGTTTTGYGTTACATCATAACTCAAAAACCYCTGGACAAATTGCTGCCAAATTTGGCCACAAGACACCTACTAACCCAAGGAGTGACCATCACTCAAAAAAAATTGATTTTGTCCTTTGGGAATTGTAGTTGCTGGGATTTATAGTTCARCTCCTTTTGCCCCTTCCTC